CCGTCGCAGACGACGCGGGCACATCCGATCCGATCGTTCCCCATGATTCCACCCCGCGATTTTAGCCTACGCCACTAGAGAAGCATCGCAAATCAAGAAACAGAAAGAGACACAAAGAAGGAAAGAAGGCGATCGCCAGAAGAAAGAACAAGAAAGATGGGGGTTAAGATTCTGATCCACGCCATCAAAATGACTTCCGAAATCAAGAACGAGGAGAAGGGGGAGAAATCACGACAACTGCTAAAGTTCGAAGATTAGGATTGAGACAATCGACCTACAAGAGAATGGATTCTATACAATTGGTGCTGGGAAGGGGATCGGCCCGGGCGGTAGCCTCCGTTTCAACCTCATCCTCCTCCATCCCGCAACCGGATCTGGTCTCGCCTAAAGGTGATGGCGAAGCCGCTTCTTGAAAGACACACATCAAATCAAAGAAGGGAAGAAGAAGATCACAAGTGGAGAGAACAACTGAGAAGGGGGTTAGGGCTCCGATCGACGCTATCAAAATGACATCACAAACGAAGCAGGGAAGATATCACGAGAACCGCTAAAGATCGAGGATTAAAGTTGAGATCAATCGACCTCGAAGAGAGTGAAGCTTACCCTACTGGCGCCAGCAAGGGAATCGGCCCGGGGCGGGGCGGACCGACAGCCTCCATTTCACCCTCTTCCTCCTTCGTCCCATCCCAGATCTGATCTCTTCCGAAGGGTATGCCGAAACCGCTTCTTGAAAGGAGAGGGCGAGAATGAGATGGGATTCAAACCACACCGTATATATATATATCAACAGAATCCACCAAAGCCCGAATCCGATAAGCTTGTGGATGCAAACGTTAGTATTAACTCGAGTTATCGGGTGTGGATCCGAGATCCATACTGATACGCTTGTTGGATCCATAACAATGAGCTGCAGGCCCCCATAAACTGCAGGCCCATCAAACTGTAGTCCATCACGAGCCTTGGGGAACCCACGTGATTTCGGCTGGCAATTATTGAGATGCATACTCACAAACGAAAAGATAATATAATATTTAAGATCAATTTTGTGTCTCATGCGACTAACTCTAGTATTAGTCACGTCAGACTTATTTCTAGTACTAGTTTAAGTTGTCATGTGAATCACTTCTAAAAGTGGTTCTAGTTAGTATGGAAGAGTCTGTCTAAATGCAGAGGAACGTATATAATGAATCCCCAGAGGGAGGGTTAACCAACTTTGGATCCTCTTGGGGGGCAATCCATTTAGATCTTGAAAAGGTTGACAAAGTGGGAATCCAGTTGGAATGATGAGATGGGTTCATAAGGGGTGGTGGGGTCAAAAGGACCTAAAGGTTGATGATTGGCATCCAATATATATCTTGCATGCTTCCAGCTGATCACCTCCTTTGTGGTCATCAAACATGGGTCCACTGCCATCAGCTGTAGCAGGACCATGGTTGATGCCTGTTCCATTCAACTCCTCATCCCATGTCTTTCAACCGGTGATCGTGTCCAAGCAGCACATCATAGTCTCCATTGCATGTTCTTAAGCTTGTGATCGCACATATAAGAATATAGGCATCTCCCTTTCAAGCAATGTGTGTGTGTGTGTGAGAGAGAGAGAGAGAGAGAGAGAGCTGTTGCAGAGAAATGATTTGACTGCAGGAAGTCCCAACTAATTCTGGGGCATCGTTTTAGGTGGTGGGAGGAAGAGGATGAGTCCCACTAGGGGGGAGAAGAATCTCCTCCTCAGGCTCTGAAAGAGTTGCAAGGACTTCTTTGTCCGCATTCAGCAGAGGGATTCGATCGACACTGTTTCTCACACAAAGATATGCATTATCCATCACGTATCTCTCGGTAATCCATCGTTGCTGGCTGGCAGCTTTCCCTTACCAATTCTCTTTTGTGGCATTTTTATCCTTCAGTCGCTCGCGCTGTCTCTTATAAGACAAACCATTAGGTTTCGACCATCGTACCGCAAGATATGATGCTGCCTTCCATACGCGACTTGTCATCATCCTCCATTTTGCAGTAGTTGGAAGCTCAATGAGAGAGCTCAGTCATGTAAAATGGGAATACAGGCAACAAAGCGTGTAGTTGAATGTGGACATCGACAAACAATGCATGCTTGCTCATGCAAGTTGATCCAAACAATAGGAACCTACATGTTCAAGAAGAGTACAGTTTACATGCTCAGTTGACACTGATAACTTAAAAGAAAGAGAAAGATAAAAGCAATGATGGAAGGCTAATACACGTTCCTACTCTTCGTTCTCCCCATTGCACCGATTTGCTGCTTCCTTACCTTCCTTTGGGCTCCCTAATGCCCGCTTCTCCTGCTCTTCCTCCTCGTTCTCCTTCTCGAAGGCCTTCAGAGAACCTCCTCCTCTTCCCTTGTTCTTTGCTCTGTTCTTGAGTACCTCCAACAGCTCCGCCATGGCCTCGAGCTTCTTTCGTCGCCGGTTCTTTATTAGAATCTCGCTGACATCTGCTGGGGTTATGTCGACACCATTAATCACCTCTTCCAGTTCCTTCAGTAGCTCTGCATTCTTCCCCTCGTGTTCCAGCTCGACATCCTCCGGTGACAGATAATTCTGCATCAGCGTCTTTAACGCTTCGTAGGAGCAGTAGCTCATGCAGATATGCATGTCCATCCTCCCCGACCTGAGGAGCGCCGGGTCAAGCTTTTCGATATGGTTCGTGGTGAACACGAAGATCCTCTCGTTCCCGCAGCACGACCACAACCCGTCGGTAAAATTCAGCAGCCCGGACAAAGTTATCGTCTTCGCAGCATTGGCGTCATCCGAGCCGAAGGTAGAGTCATAAAGGGGCATTGCCTTCTTCCAGCCGGAACTACGGTTGGTCAGATTGATCGAGCAATCTATGTCCTCGATGACAATGATCGACTTCGAAGTCGTCTTCATCAGAAGCTTACGAAGATCCGAATTGGTATGCACCTCGGTGAGCTCGAGGTCAAAGACGTCGTAGTTGAGATAATTCGCTATAGCGGCGATCATGCTCGACTTGCCAGTGCCCGGTGGGCCGTACAGCAAGTAGCCTCTCTTCCATGCACGCCCCGTCCTCTGGTAGAAGACCTCCCTCTCCGCGAAGTCCTTGAGGTCGGCCTTGATCGCCTCTTTCTTGATCGGGTCCATGGCGAGGGTCTCGAACGTGCTTGGGTGCTTGAACGGCACCGACTCCCACGGGTGAACGCGGGAGTCCATGGCGCCGCCGCGCGAATTGGTGTACAGTAGCCGGTCCTGGTTACTGCGGCGGAGCAGGGTGGCCGTGTCCATAATGTGTTGGAGATAGGCCTGGAGGATGAGGGGCTTGTCCTTCTTCTTGATCATGAGCGTGAACCCACGTTTCTCGTCGGGAAGGGGGCGCCACGAGAAGGCCTGGGCCTGGCGCTGGGTGACCACGTGCTCCCACGTGGCGGTGGCGCCACCGAAGGTGTCGACAAGGCGGTCGTTGCTGGCGAGGCCGAAGGTGAAGGCGGAGGAGTTGAGGGGCCGGGAGACGCTGAGGCGGGAGGCGGCGACGGAAGCAGAGCCGCTGAGGTAGATCTGGACGGCGTTGTAGAGCTCGTTGGTGTTGACGCCGTCGATCTCGGTGATGTCGAAGTAGCAGGAGGAAGAGAAGCAGTGGCAGAGGCGGTAGAGGAACTTGGCGGATGCGAAACGGAGGTCGGGAGGGAATACGATGTTGATAAGGCTCTGGAAGAAGGCGAACAACCCCATGAGAGAGGCAAGAAATGCCCAAAACTCCATCTTATCTTTCTTGTAGTGGAACCCTGAAGAATGCTTTCTTCTTCCCACTCAAATAAGAATTGAACCGAATTCAGGGAACAGGGGAGAAGAGGTTCTCCTCTGGTTTAGTGTTCTCCTACTCTGTCGTTCTATAGTACTGTTCTTTTTCTCTCTTCTTTTGCGTAGATGTATCAATTCAGCTTAAGAGGAAAGGGATGAATGCGGTAGAAAAGAAGAAGAAGACAGAGTTCTCTACTAGTTGGCAAATGGCAGAGATATTGAACATGCCTTTAAGAGTGCGGGGGGAGGGAAGTGATGGGCAGTCTTCCTTGTGTGGGACGGGGATTATATAGAGGTGCCTTCCACCTCCTCCGTCCAAAAGGACTTCAAATTATTTCAGAGATCTAACAAGTGGCAAAGAGGAGAGAGGATGGGTTAGAGATTTACTGTGTAGAAGTTGATGGCGATGTATGCATGTGAGCTTGCAGTGATAAGTATGGAATTCGGATGGTGTACTCTAAATCAAATCAAAAAGAAGAAAACCATGGTGGTGGTGTCCTCTGTTGAGGCAAGGGTCTCAGGCTTTTTGGTGAGATCACTTGGCCTTTCTCCTCTTTTGCTCATCATCTGTCAAGTCTTGAAGCTCTTCCTCTGCTACCTGCTACTTCAGCTTTTGATGAAGATTATGGAGCATTCACACAATTTGGTGGAGTGTACAGTGGTAAAGATCTGCTGCAGACATTACGATATCTTTCTCCCACTCTTTTTGTCATCCTTTTCGGCTTCCTGTTTCAACCAGCAAAACTTCGGGCTCGACGGAAGGTTGTTTCCTGCATGTCCCAGGGCCATTAATGGCCTACTTTGGTGGCGTGTCCTCGGTATCCCATCTGTCTCACTCTCCTCCGTTTCGGTGTAGCTCGTCGATATCCGTCTCGAGCCATTCCTACGACCACATGTCTCTTGAGAGAAGCTTCATCTCGTTTTTGTAGACAACCTCGAGATGGGATTCCAACAAAGTCCAACGAGTGGATCGTATAATATGGAACCCAAACGGGTTGCTAGACGAGTCACTCTGTACGGGGATACAAGCATGCATCTCCGGATGAACAGCGTCTCCTCGAGGGCTAAATACTATGGTCTCGTCTCCGGGCATCGGAATTTGCATGCACTGCAACTAGATTTTGCTGCAATATTTTAAGCTCATTGACGCGTTAAGATGGAGTTGGTCTCCTCGATAATCGTATATGTCCAGCGATAGGTTGCTTTCATATGGTAAACTGAGGATGAAGCGATCGAGCAAGAGAATGGCCAAAGCGAAAAAAAGGGAAACAGAGAGAAACAAATCAAATAATAGGTTGCAAGTTTTTCCTTCAATCGATGTGGTAGAATTTGGATGGCTTCAGGCCGTCGGTGACGTTCAAATACTTGAGGGTTCTCGCCCACTTGAGGTGATCCTTCAGCCGGTGCACGGCGATGGTGTCCGGCATGAACTCGTGCGAGCAGGTGTCGATGGGCACCGGGATGGGGAAGTCGTACATGGCGTACTTGGTGTTGTACCTGTTCTTTCCCTTGTTCCCTTCCCTCAGCCATTTCCCGGTCATCATGTCCTCGGCGCCGACGGTGTTGTTCTTGGCGATCTCCGACGTCGATATCCACTCCACCAAGTCCCATGAGAGCAGGTACCCCATCCCCGACATGTACTCGTTAAACGGATCCATGCTGTCGCAGGGGATCACAAAGCCATAGTACAAGTCCTCCCTCGGCATCTTGTTCAGCGACTCGATCAATTTGGGGAGCCGGAAGTAGATGTCGTCGTCCGCCTTGAGGACGAAGTCGTAGGGCTGGTCGTCGCCATCGGCGCCGTTGAACAGCTTGGGAATGCTGGAGAAGTACGTGTACGTCTTGCCATCGTTCATGTTCTCGTTGCAGTCGAGGATGATGATGTCGTTGTAGCGCATGATCTCCAGGGCGATCAGCACGCGCTGGTCCTCCTTGGTCAGGTTGCAGAAGACGAAGCGGACGTCGACGTGGGCGGTGAGGTTGGTCTGGAGGGAGTAGACGAGGCGGAGAAGGTGGCGGCGCTCGTACAGATCTGCGCGGGAGAGGACGCCGATGAGGAGGCGGAAGTCAGGCTTCACCGTGACGGGCTCGGTGAAATGGGTGACGGCAGCGGCGGACGAAGAGCGGCACGCGGTGACGAACGACTGGAGCTCGAACTCCTTCGGGTAGATAACGAGGTATATGAAAGCCAGGAGGGCGAGAGCGAGGAAGACGATACCAACAGTTTTAGGAGGTGGCTTGTGCAAGGAGGGTTTCATGGCTACTGTGATGTGGATGGTGATCGCTCAAGCCTCAAGGGCGGGGGGAGGGGGGTGGGTTTCTGTCACAGAGCAGCACAAGGCGAAGACTTAATAGTCGTATCGTCTGCCCACCCAAACTGCGACCCAATAATACTGTATATAAAGAAATAAGTTAAAACATTGAGTTGGAATCGGATGCGACAAGGGATGCAAGGAGAAGAAGAAGAGCTTTCATGTTAGGTGCAAGGCCACAACGGATCTCATAAGCCGTCGAAGAAGAAAAGAAGAAAAGCTTCAGATTGGGTACAAAGCCATATTTGACCGTCGTGCACCAAAAACGTGTGAATCTAAGCGGAGTAAAGGCGAAGTTTGAGAGAGAGAGAGAGAGAGAGTTGAAGAGATCTCACACGGATTACTAAGACAGATCTGAAGAGATGGTGATCACGTGGGCCCTTGACTTGTAAGGAAGAAGAAGGTGGCCTCGGTTCTCGTGTGCGGCTACGACTTGAACAATCCTTCTTCCTTCGATTGCTGAGAAGGTTAAGGTCTTCTTTTTGTAGTTATACGGCTAAAATCGGTAGATACATATGTCCATTGCCTCTTGCATTAGATAATTCCATCTCCTCATCGGTGGGCCGTAAATAAAAGTCAAACAAAGTGAGTCAACTCGCAGCGATGGATTCTCATCTCTTAATTGGAAAGTTGAATTAAAGGGAATATAATAATAACAGCACAGTATGTAACTCCGGCAATCCATTTGAGCATCCAAGACATCTACGAAGACGCCATTTATATGGTTCGAATAAGTCGCGTAAATGGTAATGTTTTCATGTTAAGTAGAATCATAATTCGTGGCACGATTATGGCAGCCAGCATCAGATTTCAAACAATATTTTAGGTCTCGATCTGTCGCAAATTGATACGTTCCAGCATATCCCAATGACCTCTTTCACCTACCTAAATCGATTTGTGCTCTCCATTAAATAAAAGAATACACCTGCTATTGTGTTACTTTTCCTTAAAATCTTCCATATCATCATTCCTTTTCACTTCCAACACATATTTTAGTTAGGAATATTGAATCACTTCCAACGCATGGGATGACTGCTATTAGATTTCCGACGGAGAACTGACTGTTACAGTATCTTGCACTTGACAATGTCTAATATGGATCTCCATCGATCGTTGCATGGCTGAGCAGAGCAAGTCATGCGGGAAAAAAGAATCATTGATGACCGAGAGAAGAAGGCAAGATAGAAGGGAAGCCCTTCAAGGAATATGATACAGCTTAGAGGGCTTCAACCCCGCAGTGACGTTGAAGTAATTAAGGGTCCGCGCCCACCTCAGGTGGCTCTTGAGCTTGTGGACCGCGATGGTGTCCGGGATGAACTCGTGGCGGTGGCACGTCCGCGGCTCCTCCATGTAGTCGTACATCGCCGGCTCCATGTTGAACTTCTTACCTCGGCCTCCTTCTCTCATCCATAGCCCGGTCTGGAAGTCTTCCGGCCCAACCTGGTTCTTTCTGGGCAACTCCGACGTCGCGATCCATTCCACCAAGTCCCAGGATAATAGATATCCCATTCCGGTCATGTAGTTGGTTTTATGTTGCGGGATCCAACAGGGATTGATCAACCCATAGTAGACGTCCTCCCGAGGCATCTTCCTGAGTGATTCTGCCAGGTTATGAAGCCGGAAGTAGGTGTCGTCGTCCACCTTCATGACGTAGTCGTAAGGCCGGTCCCCGCCGTTGCTGCCCTCGAGCATCTTCGGCAGGCTGGAGAAGTACGCGTAGGTCTTGCCGTGGTCCATGTTCTCGCCGCAGTCGAGGATGATGATGTCGTCGTAGAGCACGATCTCCATGGCCACCAACACTCGCTGCTCCTCCTTGGTCAGGTTGCAGAAGACGAAGCGGACGTCGATCTGGGCATTAGTGATGTTGGATTGGAGGGCGTAAACGTTTCTCATGAGGTGGCGGCGCTCGTAGCTGTCGGGGAGAGAGAGGATGCCCATTAGGAGACGGAAGTCCGGCTTCGGGGTCACAGTCTCGATGAAGGTGGCGACGGAGGAGGGCGGCCGGGAGCCGCACCGGGAGGTGACGATGGACTGGAGCCGGAACTCATTCGGGTAGACAACAAAGAAGATCAAAGCTACCAGCGCTGCTGAGAGGAGGATGAAAGGAATGGTGGAAGGAGAGGAGTGCAAGGAAGGCTTCTTCATGACTTTTCCTGCTAACCCAGAAAGATGATAACAGTTGGGAGTCTTATAGTTGGAAGTGTTTCACTGATTACTCGAAGATGAGCAATTTGTCTTCCAATGACTCGGAGTAAACATGGTTCTTCAATTCCACAAGATCACATGACCGATCTACCCGCACGTGACGATGCATGGGAGAATGCGACGGTGAGAAGGAGTTTAGCCTTACAATAATAATATAGTCTCCATGCAAGCTGCTTCCTCCTGTCTTTGCTGCACTCTTTAAGGGGATGGGTTTGACTCCTAAGATCTGATGTCAACTCTGGGAACACGAAGCAACGTTTTAAATGTATCGTGTAAGGGAGCCCTAAGGACGAGGGATGTTGTTTGCCTCCTTCACTCAGATCACAGGATGCACCACAAAGGTTTGCTCATTGCTGGACATTGTACATTACTGCTACTGTTCCTCGGGAGATCATGTATCATGGGATCGTGCACGATCTTGGAAACCGAGTTCCATCGACTTGGCATTAAAGACACAGAATCGACATCTGACTATAGTATTGATTTCTGCGGGTCAACTACTGTAGCAAATAAAAACAAGATTAAGTGCTTCAGCAGACAGCAAAGAGAGGTGCTCAAACCATCGACCACGAAACATACGCCACCAAGGAGAAAGAAACAAGGTTTGATAATCCGAACCGAACCACTTAAATATGGGCCAGAGAAATAGAGCGTTGGTTTGGGATTTAGATCGGGTATGCTCTATTAGGCTATCGGATCCCATGGGCCGTATCAAGCAGGCTCGATCCACCCATTCCAGTTCCAACCAATGGCATACTAGATGTCCACATCGCACGGCTATTAACAAAAAGAAGGCCTTCTCACGGATCGACAACTCATCCAACGGCCATCCTTTTCCTAAGTCCTCGATATAATGAACCTCTCTTCCTTCCCGTTCCACCACCAGATCAAGGAACGTGAGGAGCGCGTGGGAAAGAGACAGCGAGAGCAAGATGTCCGGGCGAGGAAAGGGAGGGAAGGGGTTGGGGAAGGGCGGGGCGAAGCGCCACCGCAAGGTCCTCCGCGACAACATCCAGGGCATCACCAAGCCGGCCATCCGCCGCCTCGCGCGCCGCGGCGGCGTCAAGCGCATCTCCGGGCTCATCTACGAGGAGACCCGCGGCGTGCTCAAGATCTTCCTCGAGAACGTTATCCGCGACGCCGTCACCTACACCGAGCACGCCCGCCGCAAGACCGTCACCGCCATGGACGTCGTCTACGCCCTCAAACGCCAGGGCCGCACCCTCTACGGCTTCGGCGGTTGAGCTCCCCTCCCGTGCTCGTCCCATCGGCCTCCGTAGGGATTTCTTTTGGTTTCTCCTTAGTGACTGGATCAAAGTATGTCATCATGTATAAAGAGAGCAGTACATTGGAGTTCCAAAGACGCGCTTTATTAGCGGCATTACAGATTTCTGTGGATTTAGAAGCTATACTTGCCATTGGTTTTGTTTGGGATGATAACAGCCGATAGTAATTCGAAGACGCAGGGTTGAGTTATCGTGACATGTAGGTGTACAAATATCATATGGTGGCCGTACTGTTTCAGTATTAATCCCAATCTAATCACTCTTTTATCGTGAATAAGAGTCGTGACGATTTTAATCGACTCGTCTTGGTTCAGCAATTCGACCCGGTCTGAATCGGATTTTAGTGGTTCACGCTTTAGTTCGAGCCAGTCTCGAACCTGTCGCGACGCTATGGGCCCCGTTACAGCTCAACGACCGGAGAAGCTTCCACGGGCCTTTTCTCTCCATGTTCTTGCACCCCGTCGCCGTCGGTGGCGATCTCCGCCTTGTCTGCCGATTCCTGATGTCTTCCATCACCATGGCCGCCGGCATCCTTTTCGGCGCGAGCACAAAAAGATGCCACTTGGGCTGCGGTTTCATGGCCGACGGCGGGTCCGGGTCCGACGCTGCCCTCCCTTGCCCTTGCCGCTTCCCCGCGGGACCTCGGGGCTGGTGGCTCTCGTCGAGGGATTCAGTCCGCCGGTGGACCAAAGGAAGGGTTCTGGGCGGCGGTGGACGGGGCTGGGGAGAAAGAAGCTTCCCCTCGAGGAATACGTCCTCAGCGTAGCACATATCGATGGCGGGGGTGAAGAACTCGAAGGCTTCCGGAGAAGAGGAAAGCGCTCGGTGAACGGGGGACGGCTCCGGGCCGCTGGGTCCTTCCCGGACGGCGATGGGGATGTATCGGAAGGAGAGGGAATCGTGGGAGTCGGACATCGACGGCTTCTGATCATCGGCAACTGCCATGGCCTGTACTTTGGTGCGTGGGCATGGATGAGGGTATTCCGGGAAGAAGATACTTTGGACACCCGCGATAAAGAGAAGGCAAACTTGATTGGCTTGGAGGGCGGAGGGAAGCATTATTTAAAGGGAAAGGGAGCAGCATTTAGGGAATGAACGACTTTGGTGTATCTTTCGGCCTTTGGGGTCTGTCCTCATCTGTCTTCCCAAAGACATTGGGATGCCAAGGCATTCGGGACTTTGTCATGTTGCTCTTCGTCAGGGAAAAGAATATAATGGGGTGGGTGGGTAGGTGGGTGGGCCTTCCTCATTTGAAGTATCAATTTATGGTGCTTGCAAGAAACTCAAGATGCCTCTGTAACATATGCAAATGGGTTGGCAGTCATTCCACGCATTAATTCCCTTTCTGTGTAATGTTCTGATATGTAGATGATGGTTTTTATTGAAATAATATCCGTTATGAGTGAACGATATTTTCATGTAAATACTTAAACTTGGAGTTCACTACAGCAGTGATTGATATGCCACCTTGAGTATGGTAAATAATAGACTGTTGCTTTCTTATGTCTACTTCGGTTATCTTACGCGATTCATTCCTTAGCAGTGAGTTTTTCTACGTGGCAGGAACAAAATAGTATCGTCTATATCAGTGTCTGATCCTAGCAAAAGCAAATCACTAGTAAATCCACAGTCCAATATAAAGTCGACTCAGTGCTGCGTGCGTCTCTTGCTTTTATCTGAAGAAGTAACGCTACATGTGTCTGGCATGGAAATTGACGACAAGCTCTTCTCGTTGAATACGTACGAGACGGCAGCGAGGTGCGTGAATCGCCGTCTAGACTTCCATCTTCGTTTTGCTTCCCATCCATCGCCGCCCTCGACGCTTTACGAAGGTGGCCTTCACGAAGAACAGGAAAGCCGAGCCTTGCCGTCGTTGTCGTAGGGAGAGACGCTCGCTTACCTTTTCCACGACGGTGCAGCCACCCTTTCTTTGACTCTCTAGAAGAACGAACATAAGTGGAGACTTCGGCCGCAAGAGAACATGAGCAGATCTGCAATATGATACTATGGCGGATGTGCGACTAAACAGATAGGCGTTCTTTCTAATATATGGCGTAAGGCCTTTATTATTGGATAATTAAGATGCCACGTGTGACAACACTAAACGAGCGCATCTGGTGTAGTGGTATCATAGTACCCTCCCACGGTACTGACCGGGGTTCGATTCCCCGGATGCGCATTATAATTTTTGTTTTTTGCAATTATAAGCACGAATACAACAAAGGATAATTAAAGAATATATATGTCAACCAAAACAAACCTTAGAATCATACGCTTTCGATTAATAACTTTTTTGGACGAGGAACTTCAATACAGAGGAATGAGAATTTTTTTTTGGATTACTCATCCGCTTTGGATTAATAACTTGGGTTTTAGAGATATCAAGTCACGAAACCTCCTTTGACCTAAGTCTAAACCGTGTTGGAATGACCAAGACGTCACCAATATTTTCTCATAATATTTTGGCACCAAAAGAATAGCTCGATATTACAGGAATGTCCATCTACTAACCCTCGTAATAAATGTCTGAGTGAGGAGGCTCTGTCATGGGCCTACAGTACTTTCATTTATGAGGCAGCAACCACCCTTTCCGCATGTGGATAGGTAGGTCAAATAGATTGGATTCCTCAGTATCATTTGAGGACTATGACGTAGTGGCCGAGTACGTTTGTAGTTAATGAGTCGAGTAAATTATTATGAAGATAATAATTTACTGAGTTAGAATGAGTTCTGATAAGTATGACTCACGACCAACTCGATATTTGACCTAGAGAGTCATACACATATAGTAGGTGTTGCGACGAGTAAATGTCCTAATATGAGATATTTGCTAGAGCTCCTATCTTATTGGATATTCAATAAACCCCCAAATTATTGAATCTTTTGGATAAGATCCAATAAGAGCTAATAAGAGATTACTATATAGAAATTCACTAAACCAAGAGTCTTAGGTAGTTAGAGATCCAATATGCAATATGGCAGGATCCATTATAGTTAAATTGACAAAGACCTCTATAAATATAGGAGAATCAAAAGGGCATAGGCTAGACTTTTTTTACTGCTATTTCCTATACTCTTCTCTCTCTCTTCTCCTCAGTCAACCGTCCTAGTTTGGGGTGTATGAATAACAAGAAGAGTTGACCCCTTCTTGATCGTGTGGTGCGTATGGAAAGAAAGATTATGCAACGATTTGAGGAGTATCTTTGTAGTGCCTGCCATGCCGATCGTCGTAAGAGAGGAGGATAGTTGACCTCGTTTATCCTCTCCCATAGATATATAATTTTTTAGGGATATATAATTTCTCTAGGTAAAACATCTTTTTATATATGTTCACTTTTTCGATTTTGCGACGGCGAGAAACTATTTTCTACAAGAAATCTGATTTTTTTTATTTTTTTTATTTTTTCGCACATGTGATGCTATCCTAGGTTTTCTAACAGTATTTTCAATAATACCGATGGCAAGGAAGCTCCACTCTTGCTTTTAAGCAAATGCCACATAGTTGATCACCGACTAACCACTCGGATAGATCATTTTTTATTCAATGTCTCAAGTCAACTATTGAGAATGTTAGTAGAGCTGAATGAATTCGATATTTGATATGTGGAAATACATTATCAGCTAATCATCATCCAACATATCACCACCACATGGTGTTTAAAGAGGGAGGATAAGACGAAGGTCACCCTTCTATCAAATTGCCCATATGAACGATTATATGAAGTAGACAATCATAAGCTTTCTTCTTGCCTTTTATAATTAGAAAGATAATCGTAAACTTCTTTCTTGACTTTATGATCGGGTATAAAAGCTTATTTAAAAGAGAGGGCAATGGGACTTCTTTGGATGACTTACATTTGTATTTGTATATCTTATATTACTAATTTGATTATCGAAAGAATCGAGTCGGAAACCTCTCTTCACTATGATTTTATTATAGATAATATTTGAAAAGTTCGATGTTTCCACCTTAGAGATACTTCAAACAATCATATGCATATGAATCCGAATCCAACAATATTTTTCTTTATTATGCTCATTTTGGTTAATAAAGTGAATAATACTCTATTGGTTTCTTATGTTGACTTTGGTTATCTCACGTGATTCATTCTTTAGCAGTGGGTTTTTCTCCGTGGCATTAACAAAATATAGTATCGTCTATATCAGTGTTTGATCCTTGCAAATGCAAATCACTCGTCAATCCAGAGTCTTATGTAAAGTCGCCTCACTGTTGCGTCCGTCTTCTGCTTTTACCTGAAGAAGTAACGCGACACGTGGCTTGCATGGAAATTGTCGACATTCTCCACTGGTTGAATACGTAAGAGACGGCAGCGCTGTGTGTGAATCGTCGTCTGGAATTCCATCTTCGTTTCGCTTCCCATCCATCGCCGCCCTCGACGCTTTACGAAGGTGGCCTTCACGAAGAAAAGGAAAGCCGAGCGTTGTCGTTGTTGTCGCTGACAAGAGATGCTCACTTACCTTTGCCATGACGTTGCAGCCACCCTTTCTTTGACTCTCTAGAAGAATGATCACAAGTGGAGGCTTCGGTGGCAAGAGAATCTTGTGACTGAATCAATCTAGTGAAAGACCACTTTGGAGACAGTGAGACGTTGAGGATCCTGTGGCTGGCTTCTCCTGACCGAGGTCTCGGCCATGGTGAACCTCCACCCTCGCTTAATCCTTGTTTACAGTGTTCCACGTGATGACAGAAGTGCATCAGGATAATAATTATGATAAGACTCATGTGACATCAGCTGCACCAGTGACACATCACGTCTTTGTCGACTTGATGAGGGAATAGCGACCCCGTCCCAATCGGAGCACCATGATCGACCACCTCAGCAATCGGGAGGAGCGTCCCAGGAAGACCCCCGTCATTCGGATTCGAACCAATCTGTATCGGTCCCGAGGTTACGACTTAAGATTATTTACGCTAACAGTACCCTCCGACTGTTCTAACCCGGGCTCGATTCCCCTGATGCGCATTATAAGTACCAACATTAATTGTTTCAGGTTCAAGTCAAACGCTGAGATGTCTTTATTTAATACTCAACGATGGTGGTGAAATCTTGTAGTCAACGCACATCCAATCCATGCACAATGTGTGGACAACCTGCTCCTACCAGATTTGGTATAACAAAAGATGAATGAACGAATACAAATGTCAACCAAAACGAACGTTAGATTCCAAACCCAACAGTGAGACCTTCCAAACCCACACAATCAAAACCCTCCTCCTCTTCAACCAATTCAAATGGCACCAAGGATAGCAGCAGCACCCATGGTAAGCCCAAGGGTCAGACCTGCAACCACCCGGGCAGCTGAAGAACTGGGGCCAGGCGCTTCTGCAGGTGCTGTGGACGATGGTGGTAATCCAATGCTTGAATCGGGTGCATCTGCACTTGCATCCTTGACGGGAGCGGCGGCACTGGTCTTCGGAGACTCGGCTGGGGTGGCCGCGCCAGACCGCGGAGCTGCGGCCGGGGTGGTGTTTCTGGCCTTGTGAGCCCTTGCAGGCTTGCTTGGACTGCTCTTTGGAGCTGCTGCAGGAGTGATGGGGCTCGACTTTGGCGCTCCGACTGGTACGCTGCTGCTCGGTGTTGGAGCTCCGACAGGTGCGCTGCTGCTCGCCTTTGGAGCACCGACAGGTGCGCCGGTGGTAGGCTCTGGACCCTCAACAGGTGCGCCGGTGGTAGGCTCTGGACCCTCAACAGGTGAGCCGGTGCTCGACTCTGGACCCTCAACAGGTGCGCCGGTGCTCGACTCTGGACCCTCAGCAGGTGCGCCGGTGCTCGACTCTGGACCCTCAGCAGGTGCGCCGGTGGCTCGACTCTGGACCCTCAGCAGGTGCGCCGGTGCTCGACTCTGGAGCCTCAA